CACACTTGGGAAAATTTCTAAAGAAAGAGTGAACTAAAAACAAAGACTGAAAGGACTGGTTAGGTTCCAAAACTCCAACCACATAAAAAAGATTTCCCCTTTCTTACCTAAACAAAAGAATTTTATGTAGCCTAGCGTGGTTTGCAGGGATTGTAGGGAGTACTGAAGAAGAGGGAAGAGAACAGAAAACATACTAGTGAAATCAGGGGGATTAATTCCAAAGGAACATACTGACCCTTAAGACTCCCAGACTGGTTCCCAGAACATTAGATGAAGATTAGAAGATTCTTTTGTTGGATGCTGATTAACCCCAAAACTGCTAATATCAACGATTGCTCAATTTTTTTTTTTTTATAAATCAGTTTGCCACCTTAACTCCCTACTAAAATAACTATAAATCAACAATCCTTGCCTATGCACAGAGTTTCCTAACAGTGCTTAAAGTATAAATAGTTAGCCAAGGAAGGATCATCAGACATTTTAAAGAAATTCTTCAACATTAATGCCAGAGATAGAGATTGAGATTGAGATAGAGAGAGAGAGAGAGAGAGAGAGAGAGAGAAAGAGAGAGAGAGATATAAAAAGAGGGAAGAGAAAAGAAACATGGAGGAAATGTATAAAAAAGGACAACTTTAAAAGAAATAACTTCCTAGAAAAATAATGCATCCATGAAACAAGAACAGGATGCTATAACAAAGGAGCATTCAAAGAAACAAAAAAGAACATCAGGGAATTAAAATATGTACAGAAGATTTTTTAAAAAATCAATATATGATTTCAAAGACCAAGTAGAAGAAATCACTTCAAAAATTATAGCAGATGGACAACATGAAAAGGAAATTTTCAGAAAAGCAATATTACAGTATTACAAATTTCCCAGAACTATAGGACATAAATCTACACAGTGAAAGGTCCCACTAAGAACCTAGCAAATGAATTTTAAAAGAACCATAACAAGACATCAAGGTATATCACTGTAGTATTTCAGATCACAGGGAACAAAATTCAGTAAGAAAACTAAAGCTTTCAAAAAAAAACCCAAACAAACAAAAAGCAAAAGTTGCATAAAAAGGCAGAGTGGCATCAAATTTTTATCCAAAATTTTGAGGAAAAAAATTTTTTAAAATCTAAAATTCTAAACAGTCTATAGTTGCAATAAGCAGGAATAACAGATAGGGCTACGAAGTTTTAAATAAAGTAACTTGCATATTCCTTCCCAGAAAGTCACTGAAGCTATACTCCAACAACATAAATAAAACCTGAAAGAAAGTGCCATGG